CAAGAGAATGGAGCTAATTGCAACCCAGATAGGAGGTCCTGCCCCATTGCCTTGTCCACATCCTTGAAATGGAATCAGGGTCGGAGGAGTAAAGACACGGTCTGAATCGCCAAACCCCGTACGCACCTGGTGCTTAGACTTCATCAGTGTATCAAACATGGAGCAAAGGTACGCCATTGAATCCCAAAGCGCATGAGGCTAATGATTGCCACCCAGTGGACAATCCGGTCAAAGCAGGACTTGGCATCGTTGGAGGTCCATCCGGGCGGGCGGCGTGGAAGATGCAAGAGGTCCCAAGTGAGATGCTTCGTAAGGGCCAGATCGATGGCCTGGTGACGCTTGCGAGACCCATGTTGTCCTTTTGGGATCAGGTTGTGCTTCTCTGCGTAGGCCATGGCCGATTTCCCCACTCTCTTGTTGTTGGCCTGCAGCTCCAAATTCATCATTTGGATCGTGCGCATGAGGTCCACCCGGATCTCGCCTGGTTTCTTCTCAATTGCAAAGTTGAGCAAGTGGCACCACTGGGCTGGGACAAATCCTGTAGCAAAAGGGATGGAGCGAAAGATCGTGTCGCAGCAGGCAAGCAAAATGGATGCCACTCCCGCTTTGAAATGGCCATTATGCAAGCCGTGTGGCTCCGAACCTTTGTGTTCCCCCATCTTTCGCCAGAAGCTAACATGGTCCTCCAGATCCACTTCCAGTGGTTGGTCTGCCAAGCCCTCCGGCCGTCGGCAATGGTCCAGGAATGACACCAGGTAAGGATCCGCTGTCTCGCCTTCATAGAGACCACGGAGCAGTGCTTGGCTGTTCCTTTCGGCATTGGGGCCATTGAAGTCGGAATACAAAGGTTCAGTCATGGGTGGAGTGGAGTAGGGGTAGCGGGTCTGGTCATACCGGAGCCGGTTCTCTTGCATGCAGCCTTCTTCCACAAGACGTTGAGACTGGCATGTTACCCAATGGGAGGTACCATCCTGGGCCACCTGGGCCACTTTGATCTGCTGGAGGCCACCAGAGAAGCCTTTGCCTTGAGCTTTCCTTCGCCGTTGGGTCTCTTCTTTTTGTGCCATCCGCTGGACTCGAGTCCGTCTGGTACAAGCTTTGATGTTGCCCTTCTTTGCTCTCTGGACTGCTGCTGATCTGGTCTCCAGATATTCCAGGCGCCACTGATGGGCACGCTTCCGCTTGACCTCTTTGTAGTCTTGATGTTCAATGTACCACTTTGCCTGCAGGTCAGCTTCTGACAATTTCCATGCATCGGTCAGCCCGGTCTTCTTCAACAAACGCCGGACCTTCCGTGAACTAGTTCTGACCTGTTTATGGCCCAA